CGAGGATATTTAGGCTCTTAACAAGAGGCAGTCCCGAACATTCTTACACAAGCTACCACTGCTAAATCCTAACTGACTAAATTGTATTTTAGTTTAATATAGTTTGAAACCTAGTAATTTCCATCGAAGTTTACACGAGGGACTTAAATTTCCTAAAATAGTTTTTAATGGTTTTATTAACTAATACCTTTTCCATTTTACATATCAGATATTTGGACGAGGCCATTAAAAAGCCTCAGTAAAATACCAAACATAAAGAGTTGTTCTAGTTCTATTAATAGAACTTTATTTACATTCCAACTTTTTTATATCTGAATACTTCGGTAGCGAGATGGCTCAACCTAATATAGGTTTCTAGGGACTATTAACGTTACCTACTTGATCCTCCGATCAGCCAACCAGATGTGCCAGTCTGATAAAGGCGAAGTCGGTAATTCTTGATATGTAGCATGTTTTTGGTTAAGACAATAACTAAAGACATCAAGAATATTTTCTTCTTCACTAAAGATAGGATTTTATGAGTCTTTCGGATTCGCCCCAATAAAACATACCATAGTTTCTAATAGAGCGACAACGAAACACTAAATAAAATCCCTTCGGCGGAAACAGTACTGAGAGGATTATATATAGACAATGTCTCAGCCTCACAATCGCTCAGAGTATTGCTGTTTTCACGAGCCGTACCTAACTTTACTAAATGTCATATTTCGTTTATTTACTTTGATATTTTCACGTTACTTAGAATTTACATACGCGTTTATTTATTCAAAGGCGTTAATATCGCTTGAAAGACCGAATCTTACAATGTGGGGGTTCGCCTCATCCAACTGACGGTTCTGTAAATCCGTGTCGTATGCGGACCAGTAGTCGGCCACAAATTGGTGGCTAGCATCATGCTTTGGCTTAAGCATGGAATGTTGAAATGTAGGTTCCCTACCAACCACTGGTTGTGGTATATTAGCCGATGCTGTGGTGCTTGCGGGCGGTCATCATAATGGGTGAATAAACATCCCATCGCCTATACGCGTGCTGACCACAACATCCCAACGGCGAAGTCGCTTGAACACAGAATCTGCCCTGTCTGTAGTTGTCGTTGCACGCTTCCCAGCACTTGACCGCTGCCGGTTGTCTGGGAGTATGATTTTGGTACAGCATGGCCGTAAGCCGTGGGTCCAACATCACTTGTGGCAAGGCTGGTGCCTCCTCCAGTTGAAAGGACTCGTTTACGGTCTTGCCATCGGCCGCCTGGACTAGCATGTCGCCTCCACGGTCACGTCGTACTGGAGTAGAAATGTGTGGGCTTAAGTGATAGTTGTTCATCAAGTTGGTACAAAGCTGAGAGGACACCATACTTGGCTAGGTCCGACAGGAATATGAGCTTGAAGCTAGCATCGGTCGGTGAGGACGTAGTTAAGTTTCCGCGCCTCTTCCAGGAGCTCCGTTTTATGCTCGAGCTTTGTGATATATGCCGCACTTCCATAATGCGCGATGAGCCAGCGCTCTACCTCAGTTACTGCTGACTCAGTGTCCAGTGCGGCCACCAGCTTGATCTGTATAGGTTGATCTAGAAACTACAGAAGATGAGCGACCTTTGCTGCTTCCGAAGGCAGTCGTGTAAACTCCTTTTGGGACTTTTCCATCTCCCATTTACGAAGGAAAGGCAGAATGGGCCGGCTGCGGCGTCCATAGTACATCGAAGGTGCTCGGCGTGCATTACGAGGAATACTGCTGCCGGAGGGTGGTTGGAAAGAAACCATGCTGCAAGGACTAAGGAATTGTAGACTGGGAAAGGGAAGGTCGGTGCGGAGGTAGGAATCGTGAAATTAGTGGATTCAGTGAAATCAGATCAATCTTCGAAAAACAAGAGATCACGAAATCGGTTAAGAAATACAGCTTTCTATGTTATCTATGTTAGTCTAGTATATGTGGCTAGAGCATAGTTGTAGTAGACTGTACACTTATTTACTAGGGTTTAACTAAGCTAGATGTTCTGTCACATCTACTGGACAGTGTACAAAGGACTGATCTCCTGATCTAGTCGTCTACTATAATGGCCTAGGGTAGTCCTAGGCTCACAGTCCGCACATGGTGTGGACTGTCCTAATATATAATATCGGTCCTGTTCCTCAGAGTAGGGCAGGGCAGAATAAGTCCTCTTTCTCAGGTCTAGGTGTTCTATACTAGTACTACTGCTACAACAGTTTGAAAATGAAACAAAGAAAACAATCCCGGAGAGCCATAGCCCTCGTATAATTTAAAGGGCCATGGGAGATCCTTCTAGAGAGTTCCAGTCTTGGTCGATAGCTGGATGCTAAATAGTAATAAATACATTCTGAAAGTTAGCTGGGATTGAGCCCGTGGATTGCTATTTGCTTGGGCAGCCGGGGGCCCGGGGTGCAGAGTTGCAGACTACAGAGTACAGAGTGCAGACTGCAGAGTAGTCAGTAGACTGAAATACATATTGTATTTTTTATAAAAAAAGTAATAAAACCCCAACTGCTGTTTTTACAATATTTTTTATTCAATTTTTTTTTTAAGGTCGCTGTACTGTAAATACTCTAATTTGTTGTTGGCTATTCCGCGACGATGTGGAAAAATAATAGAAACCTATATGAGATTCCAAGCTGAATGTTTTTAATTTTCGTTGTTATTGTAAATTAATTAGAAATACATGGTGAATAAAACACAAATTTTAAAATTTACATACAAATTGATAATTCTCAATTCCTTTTACCTCCTGAACCAGTCTGAAATCAAAACCTCTGGTTCAGGGCCTGTGACACATGTATCAGCGCATGGAGTGACAAAATGCACAAATCAATGCTATAATTGAGGGCAGTGCTGATTTAGAGACCCTTTCTTTTGTATATTGCATACTTCAACATGGTATGTGATTTCGAAAGAATATGTTTGTTTGTATTAGCGTGTTGTAGACTGAGCTGCTGTAAGATATATCAACCATAGGAGGAAGAAGAAGAACGAGAGTGTTCGCAAGTATTAGTATATGCCAAAAAAACAACGTTAATCGACATCGAGCAGTAGCGATTTGGAGTCAAACTAACGACTCGACACCTATATATGTGCGTATAGCAACAATAATTCAGCAGTCCAGATAAGCACAAAACCTATGGTGAGGCATTTAAGATATGCACGAAATCTATAGTGGAAAATGAGCATTCAAAATATGTACGAAAGCTATGGTGAAAATGAGAATACCGATGTAGAGCGGCATGTGATGCAACACCAGCCTTGTAGCATCAGTAGCCCCTGACATCACAGCAGCACATCACACACACGCTACTCACCACACGAATCACAACAACTCGCAGAAGAAGGGGATGTGAGGTATCCGAGATATCATCCTATCGGCAGCCATACGTAAACTACATTGCAGCAGTCAGGCTGCAATGAATGTGCTTTCTATTTGCATATTTCTCGCTCAACTTGTTCACGTATCCATTCCTTCGGAACACACCATCTTAGATCAAGATTCATTCCGAACAATAGATTAGCATCACATTGCTATAAAAAGAGCACCCTGTACCCACCATATACGGGTCAAATTTGAGATGTCAATAGCCCAGGGATAGATATGGAGATGCAGTAGATGAATTTCATTGCTGCCTGATTACCGCACCTGGCAGGTTGATTTGCTTTTGTGAAGTTATCCTGGTAAGCAGGAGCAAGACTCGTTATTCAACGAACAGACCATGAACCGCCAACTCATTACTGTCACGTACTTTGCATATACCTATATCCTTACAGCCACGTGTAAAGGCCCATGAACTCCGCTCTAAGAAGCCCGACGAGCTCGAGGCTCAGCTTACTCAGCTAAAGACTGAGCTAGCTAACCTTCGTGTTGCCAAGGTGACCGGTGGAGCTGCTTCCAAGCTGTCCAACATGTATGTACTTCGAGTAGTTTTTGATGCCTATTGGGTTCATTTAGTATCAATTTTTTTTTAAATTTCACGGTGATCGTTTTCTGTGTGCAGATATTTCAATCAGACTTATATTGTGAGCTATATGCGTCTATGTATATTGTATTTATAATAAGTATACAGATGCTGTCTACCCGTGCAAGTATAAATTGGGCTTATATAGCCGGAACACATTTCCTCCTGAGCTACGTATATGCGCACTTTGGCAAGTACTCGTGGCTTATTCTACCCCACAATCAAAGGGTATATTGCAACCAAATGTATAGAACCTACAGAATATTGTGTAGATAAACGGCACTACTACGCTATGTTGCTTAGTGTATGCTCTCGCGTTATGTTTATTAATATGGGTATCAAAATGCGCTGGTACTTTAGTTGCGCAATGCGATATGCCAAGGTTATATTTCAAGGAGAGCGCGTTCAATTTTACGGTTCTCGTTTAACTGTGCTTTGCAATGCATAATCGCTGTAATATGCTCGCTAAAACTACCACAAATGATCATAGCTATATATAGATATATATAAATATACACACACGCACACACACATATACACACACAATATATATACACATACGTATACATATATACATATAAATATATACATATACATATATTCATATACATATATATATATATATATATACATACATATTTATATATATATATATATATACATACATATTTATATATATATATACATTACTATATATATATATTAATATATATATATACTATTACATATATATATATATATAATATATAAACACACACACGCACGCACATACATATTTGTGCATGTATATGTAAATCTGTATCTATATCTATATCTATATCTATATATATATCTACATATATATATATATTATAAGTCTTGCGTATTGTGTGTATGTACTCTGTCGCATCTGCCTAGGTCTTCCTCAATTTATAAACATGCACTGCACATATATCAAAGTGGAGATGTTGCTCCTGTTTTATTGTGTATGCAATGTAGTAGAACCATTCTGAATGTTCCTTTCCGTTCTGTTATTTTTGTATACAGCTCTGTGGTGCGCAAGTCTATTGCTACCGTCCTTACGGTAATCACCCAGACCAGACGTGAGCATCTACGTGCCCACTACAAGGGTAAGAAGTACGCTCCCCTTGATCTTCGCGTAAAGAAGACGCGTGCTATCAGACAACGTCTTTCCAAGGCCGATGCTTCACGCAAGACCCTTTCCGCACAGAAGAAGGCTATGCACTTCCCCATGCGTAAATACGCTGTTAAGGCATAAACGTATTTAAAGTTGATGTGTAATATATGGCGTCTTTCCTTTCAAATGACTGAGCTTTTTGTTCTAAAATCTAAGATTTAATATCAATCACATTTATCAGTGTGTTTTGTGTCATCTGAACGCAGTGCGTGTTTTAGTAACATAATTGACTGTGTTTATGTCTGAAATCGTTGGTAAAAGTACATTTTTTTTGGGTTTCTCGCATACAAATTTCTTGTGGTAGTTGTATGTTGGTCGGTGATGAATAACACGAGGCATTTGTATTAGTCTGACTGTGATGTGTGCCTGTTTTTCACGCCGTTTTGGCATTGGAATTCAGTGCCAGTATCGATGTTGGCATGATTACAAACCCGTACCAATTCCTGAGACCAATGGAAATTTATGATTATCAACTCTTTACACTATCGGTTCAAAATAAAACCTGAATATATAACTTTGGAATGGTTTATACATATATTCGTTGTTATGAATGTAAGTTTTGACGTCTGTCCGACTTGATTGACACTAGCTATATATTGCAAGGGAGTGTTCACATTGCGTGCGCTCGGTACATATGAACACATATTCACTCCTCGAGACAAGTTTGTTGCAAGATGCTGTATTGAGAGAGCATCACACAAACGTTACAGCATCTGTGGCGACTTTATTGGGATCGTCAGTGAGGATAAGACTACACTAGAAATCGTGGAACCATATTGGTACTTCACCGCGACGGTAGTATGGTGGCAGCAAGGGCCGTGTGGAATTCTTGCGGTGTAGAGTTCATCATGGTACGCAACTGATAAGCAGAAGATGCTTTTTGCTTTGAACGACAGTATGGTGTTCACACTGTTTGTGCCAATTTTACGTAGGGTATTTTCAGATTTGATTTGTATGTTTTGCTGTTTTTGCTTGGAGAGAGGTAGTTCAGTGTGAGGAAATTGTAGCCAATTTGACAATGTTTTATTTTTTTAATGCGAGTATAGTGGAAGCATTTGTTGACCAATGATTGAATGACACGAGGCATTTGTATTAGTCTGACTGTGATGTGTGCCTGTTTTTCACGCCGTTTTGGCATTGAGAATCAGTGCCGGTATCGATGTTGGCATGATTACAAACCCGTACCAAACCCTGAGGTCTGTAGTTCGTAGTTTTCGAATGATCTGAATAAATTTTCCCCCGTACTGCCTTTTTTTTTAGGTCAAATGTATCAAATTGGTTTAATATCTCGCTGTTATTTTAATACTGTTTTTAGGGTTTGTCTGTTGGTGTTCGTCACTCAGGTACTTTACTGTGTAGAAACTGATCTTGATGTCATCCGGCCTTTAGGTATGATCCCGAATATTCTATTATCGACTGTAACGATGTTGCGACGTGTGATGCGTCGGGTGAAAGAATAGGCACAGTACAGAACATGACGAATTGCGGCGAGGGTCAGCGATTCGAGTTGTTCAGAATTGTGAAGTGGCCTACGTTTGTTTCGAGGCGTTAGGTGAAATCTGGCTGAGACGTAATTGTGAGGATGTAGGGCGTTAAATGGATTACTCAGAGAGATGAATGGCGAATCGTCGTATCACTAAATGAATGGTGGTACACAGAACGGAGTTTGTATACAGAACGAATTAGTTGAACTGCGAGATTCAATTGGCTTATGATTGACTTACACGAGGCATTTGTATTAGTCTGACTGCGACGTGTGCTTACTTTCCCGCCGTTTTGGCACTGGAGAGCAACGCCAGTGTCTATGTTGGCATGATTATACATTCGTACCAAACACCTGAGGCCAATTGTATATCGTGACGCTCGTTTCTGAATAAATGAATCATTATGCAGAATTTGTACAGTTTTTTCTGCTATATTTCTTATGGCCAGTCCCTTAAATTTTGCTTCGATCGATTGGGATATTGTCCAGTGAATGTATTGTAATCGATATATATATCTTACTGGGAAATAGATATTCTGGCCATCGTTGGGATTTCCCATGATTGTCAATTATTGTTTGGTAGTGTATTTAGACCCGAAAAGTATGCACACACACACAAACACACACACACACACAC